TGTATGTCTGTGTGTGCAGGTGTTTGAGCTCTGTATGTCTGTGTGTGTGCAGATGTTTGGGCTCTGTATGTGTGTGTGCAGGTGTTTGGGCTCTGTATGTCTGTGTGTGCAGGTGTTTGGGCTCTGTATGTCTGTGTGTGCAGGTGTTTGGGCTCTGTATGTCTGTGTGTGCAGGTGTTTGGCCTCTGTATGTCTATGTGTGCAGGTGTTTGGGCTCTGTATGTCTGTGTGTGCAGGTGTTTGGGCTCTGCATGTCTGTGTGTGCAGGTGTTTGGGCTCTGTATGTGTGTGTGCAGGTGTTTGGGCTCTGTATGTGTGTGTGCAGGTGTTTGGCCTCTGCATGTCTGTGTGTGAAGGTGTTTGACCTCTGTATGTCTGTATGTGCAGGTGTGTGGCCTCTGTATGTCTGTATGTGCAGGTATGTGGCCTCTGTATGTCTGTATGTGCAGGTGTGTGGCCTCTGTATGTCTGTATGTGCAGGTGTGTGGCCTCTGTGTGTGCAGGTGTGTGGCAGGGTTGTGTGATGTCACTCTGGGAATACAACACGTTGACTGTGTTTGTTTATACAAAGTTTAGAATTGGATGAGGCGAGGAGAGAAGGACAGTGACTGGAACACGAAACCCGACACAAAAAGAAAATTGTGGATCAACAGGGTTGTCCGACAGTGTCAGACGAGGCTGAGGAGTAGACGGGAAAAATGAAGACTTCGGTCACTGGTACTGTATACCTTGAGCATGTGTGGTGGAGAATAAAGCAAGACATCAAAAATGCCATGGAGAGATGTGGAGTGAAAAATGTTAATAAAACACAAGGTAAAGAAGTGCACAGAGATGGTTTGGCCACCGTGTTAAATGAGTGGATTAGGATTAGTGAAGCGAGTGTGTTTTAGTGAGTTTGAGGATAAGAGAGCAAGGCCGAGTGGGGGAGGGGGGGTGAGGAAGCGAGGAGTGTAGACACCTGCACACACAGACATACAGAGCCCAAACACCTGCCTTAGCATGAAACTTGTCTATATTCCCTTTTCCCTCTTTTATCCTGCCTGATGCCTGCCCGTCCCACGAAGATAGGAAAGAGAGTAATAAGACAATAACCAACAAATCTGCAACAGACCAACTGGCCCATTCCAGGCAGCACCTTATACCTCTTACGACCGGGCATATGGTGAGTGGAGGGAGCGGGCGGACGTAAGAGGTGGACGTATTAGGGAACCAGAGTGTGGTATACCTGGACGGGCCAGACTCAGCCAGGGCGCCTCCATATCCAGTGTGGGAGACGCCTGATGGAGCCGTGATACCGCAAGCCTCCGGTGATGGCGACTCTCTCTCTCTCCATACTTCTCTTTCCGGGCGTGTGTGTGTTACTTTGTGTTCGTATACCTCTGTGTGTCTTGATGTGTATCTGGACATGTTGGCACGTGTCCCCTCGCCGCCAGGGTGCGCCTGTAGGAGACATCCACAGGTTTCCCGGTGTTTCCAAACACCGGGAAACAATTCCAGGTGTTTGGTATTGTCATTAAGCCTAGAGACACCCTTTAGGGGTGTGTCATTGTCTCTGATATTGGAGCTACGTTCCAGGTGTATATCACTGTATACCTGAAGCAACCTTCCAGGTGTGTATCACTGTATACCTGGAGCCATCTTCCAGGTGTGCATCACTGTATACCTGGAGCCATCTTCCAGGTGTGTATCACTGTATACCTGGAGCCATCATCCAGGTGTGTATCACTGTACACCTGGAGCCATCTTCCAGGTGTGTATCACTGTATACCTGGAGCCATCATCCAGGTGTGTATCACTGTATACCTGGAGCCATCTTCCAGGTGTGTATCACTGTATACCTGGAGCCATCATCCAGGTGTGTATCACTGTATACCTGGAGCCATCATCCAGGTGTGTATCACTGTATACCTGGAGCCATCTTCCAGGTGTGTATCACTGTATACCTGAAGCAACCTTCCAGGTGTGTATCACTGTATACCTGGAGCCATCATCCAGGTGTGTATCACTGTATACCTGGAGCCATCATCCAGGTGTGTATCACTGTATACCTGGAGCCATCATCCAGGTGTGTATCACTGTATACCTGGAGCCATCTTCCATGTGTGTATCACTGTATACCTGAAGCAACCTTCCAGGTGTGTATCACTGTATACCTGGAGCCATCTTCCAGGTGTGTATCACTGTATACCTGGAGCCATCTTCCAGGTGTGTATCACTGTATACCTGAAGCAACCTTCCAGGTGTGTATCACTGTATACCTGGAGCCATCATCCAGGTGTGTATCACTGTATACCTGGAGCCATCTTCCAGGTGTGTATCACTGTATACCTGGAGCCATCTTCCAGGTGTGTATCACTGTATACCTGGAGCCATCATCCAGGTGTGTATCACTGTATACCTGGAGCCATCTTCCAGGTGTGTATCACTGTATACCTGGAGCCATCTTCCAGGTGTGTATCACTGTATACCTGGAGCCATCATCCAGGTGTGTATCACTGTATACCTGGAGCCATCTTCCAGGTGTGTATCACTGTATACCTGAAGCAACCTTCCAGGTGTGTATCACTGTATACCTGGAGCCATCTTCCAGGTGTGTATCACTGTATACCTGGAGCCATCTTCCAGGTGTGTATCACTGTATCATGGCCGCCAGGATGCCATGCACCATAGCGTGTATACCAGTAGTACGGAGTGCAGGGAGCCTCAGTATAAATGCAGTAATGTTGACCATTGTAAACAAAATCCGTCGTCAAGGTTCAGTCAAGAAACTGAACTAATTGTGAACGTGTAGTGAACCTGGTGCTCGGTGATGGGGTGGTGACGTCACGGCTCACCGCAGGCGCCCGGCTGCCCGTTAACACGCCTCCTCCACGCCGTTACTACATAAAACAAACCTAACGAGCGCGCCTCCTCCAACAACCAACCATAACACGCTAAATTCCGCGTAATACATAATACAACACACTCGAAAAGGATAGAGTAATTGGCCAGATGTTCGCTTCGGGCGGGTCATAGGCCTACAGCGGCACGAAAGCCACCTCTTTAGGCTCGGTCGGTGAGAGTAGAGGACGGCGCCTGGCTCTTGACCACCTCTCTTGTCATGCACGGAGGGGGCGTGCATGGTGCCGGTGCTGTCAAGCAGGGATCATGCACGCCTTCCTGACTTGGTCGAGGCGTGACTGCAGGTGGGTCAGGAAACAAGGGATTCACTTCCCACCCCCCCCATTCCTATCCTCCCCCCCCTTCCCACCCCCCCCCTCCTATCTTCCCTCTCTTCCCCCCCCCCCTCCTATCCCCCCATTCCCCCTCCCCCCCTCCCACCGCCTGTCAAACCCACCCACTTCGTAAAGTGTGTGCTTACCTATAAGTGCCGACAGGAGTGAGATATGGCTCTTGGACCCCTTCTCATCCCACCCGATTTGTGTTGGTTGTGTATCTCGCGACGTCCTGGTTGGTACTTTATAGTACAGTACTCCAAGTTGATAACACCAGAGGAAACAAGAGGTAAAGAGGTCTTACAGTCAAATGTCTATATAAATATGATTATTTTTGTTGCAAGGGATAGGCCTATCTCCTCAACCCGCTCCCCCCCCCTTGCTAACTAGGTCAACATGAGGTCAATGGCCTCGTTGGTGACACGGGGTCACACTTCACCAGGTCACAGAGTACACAAGCGGACAGGTCAGTGCTGAGAGTGAATATTATATCAGTGATAGAGTCACGGGCTCACCATAGCCCGTGCTACTTGGAACTTTTTTGTTCCGGGTAGCTTAAACAACAGTGATAGACAGGTAGGAGGGTGACCAGGCAAGGTTGACAGTAGGATGTGTGCGCATGCGCCCTTGTACTCTAATATACACGCATCTACACAAGTCCACCTGCAGGCGGCCGTACCCCCTCGCACGCGTATATATATATATATATATATATATATATATATATATATATATATATATATATATATATATATATATATATATATACAGTTAAGGTCATCTATAATGTTCACGCACTTGTACCTACACAAAGAAAGGTCTTATGATGACTAAGATATAAAGTGTACGTGTGTTACAGGAACCTTGGAAGGCCAAGGACGGGACCACACACACACACACACACACACACACACACACACACACACACACACACACACACACACACACACACACACACACACACACACACACACACGGTGGAAAGACCTGCCAGCAAACACATACCTGACCAGTACCCAACATGGTACTGGACTACATAGTGGAGCTAAAGATTACAGGAAGAGTAGCGGGCAGTGGGGAGAGGCTAAGACCAGGAGAGGTCACCTTACTGGTCACCCCGGAACCTGTGAAAGGAGTGCTCTGAGAGAGCCAGGTCTGAAGGGAGTGCTCTGAGAGCGCCAGGTCTGAAGGGAGTGCTCTGAGAGCCAGGTCTGAAGGGAGTGCTCTGAGAGAGCCAGGTCTGAAGGGAGTGCTCTGAGAGCGCCAGGTCTGAAGGGAGTGCTCTGAGAGCGCCAGGTCTGAAGGGAGTGCTCTGAGAGCCAGGTCTGAAGGGAGTGCTCTGAGAGAGCCAGGTCTGAAAAGAGTGCTCTGAGAGAGCCAGGTCTGAAGGGAGTGCTCTGGGAGAGCCAGGTCTGAAGGGAGTGCTCTGAGAGAGCCAGGTCTGAAGGGAGTGCTCTGGGAGAGCCAGGTCTGAAGGGAGTGCTCTGGGAGAGCCAGGTCTGAAGGGAGTGCTCTGGGAGAGCCAGGTCTGAAGGGAGTGCTCTGGGAGAGCCAGGTCTGAAGGGAGTGCTCTGAGAGAGCCAGGTCTGAAGGGAGTGCTCTGAGAGAGCCAGGTCTCTGAGAGAGCCAGGTCTCTGAGAGAGCCAGGTCTCTGAGAGAGCCAGGTCTCTGAGAGAGCCAGGTCTCTGAGAGAGCCAGGTCTCTGAGAGAGCCAGGTCTGAAGGGAGATAACTCGTGAAAGGATGACCTCTGTGACCGAGAAGTGTTGAAGCTGAGGTCAGATGCATGACGCCAGGAGACGACAAAGGAACAAAGACCTGCAAGGTTCAGCAGGCACCAGCCCAGGGTTCAGCAGGCAACAGCCCAAGGTTCAGCAGGCACCAGCCCAAGGTTCAGCAGGCACCAGCCCAAGGTTCAGCAGGCACCAGCCCAAGGTTCAGCAGGCACCAGCCCAAGGTTCAGCAGGCACCAGCCCAAGGTTCAGCAGGCACCAGCCCAAGGTTCAGCAGGCACCAGCCCAAGGTTCAGCAGGCACCAGTCCAAGGTTCAGCAGGCACCAGCCCAAGGTTCAGCAGGCACCAGTCCAAGGTTCAGCAGGCACCAGTCCAAGGTTCAGCAGGCACCAGTCCAAGGTTCAGCAGGCACCAGCCCAAGGTTCAGCAGGCAACAGCCCAAGGTTCAGCAGGCAACAGCCCAAGGTTCAGCAGGCAACAGCCCAAGGTTCAGCAGGCACCAGCCCAAGGTTCAGCAGGCACCAGTCCAAGGTTCAGCAGGCACCAGTCCAAGGTTCAGCAGGCACCAGTCCAAGGTTCAGCAGGCACCAGCCCAAGGTTCAGCAGGCACCAGCCCAAGGTTCAGCAGGCACCAGCCCAAGGTTCAGCAGGCAACAGCCCAAGGTTCAGCAGGCACCAGCCCAAGGTTCAGCAGGCACCAGCCCAAGGTTCAGCAGGCAACAGCCCAAGGTTCAGCAGGCAACAGCCCAAGGTTCAGCAGGCACCAGTCCAAGGTTCAGCAGGCACCAGCCCAAGGTTCAGCAGGCACCAGCCCAAGGTTCAGCAGGCAACAGCCCAAGGTTCAGCAGGCAACAATCAAAAAGGAGAGCGTAATCGACCACAAAAGAAGTACAGGACACACACGCGAGCAACAGTCACGCGGGAGCAGGGAACGAGTACTCAAGAATTAGAAGATAAACACTACGATAGTTACGCCATTTAAGGCTCCACTGCCAGCCTAGGAGAGGGCGAGCAACACACTATCATCACCTGGTGAGATAGTGTGATAGAGGCGAATAGCCTCTAACAATTAACAAATAACAAATAACCACTGTTCTGTTTTAATAAAATGTATTATAATCATAACACCCTCACAATATGGAGAACTACCGGACAGTTAGAGGACAGTCAGACATCCGGCAGTCAGTGCATCAGATCAAATAATGCAAATGTTGCAGACACAATGGGTGTGTGTGGGTGTAGACACAGAGGCATCGAGGGTGGAGGTGGTGGCAGGTGGTGAGCCACACACAGCTGTGGTGGTGGCAGGTGGTGAGCCACACACAGCTGTGGTGGTGGCAGGTGGTGAGCCACACACAGCTGTGGTGGTGGCAGGTGGTGAGCCACACACAGCTGTGGTGGTGGCAGGTGGTGAGCCACTCACAGCTGTGGTGGTGGCAGGTGGTGAGCCACACACAGCTGTGGTGGTGGCAGGTGGTGAGCCATACACAGCTGTGGTCGGTGGCTGTTATTGATTCCTCTTATCCCCCTCCCACCATCACCCTCACCTCTAAACACAACCCTACAAACATCTCATATAACGTCATCACTACCACCTACGGCAGCTCCCATGCCACACTAAGATGTGCATACAGACCATACGCCACGAAGTGCATCTGGGAATACCCAACGCATAGGTTCAAATCCACATCAGGGCTCCGCTGGATGTTCTCATACCAAGCGGTTCCGTGCACCTGCCACAGGTATTACCGTGGTAGGGAGCAGGTGCGGGCAGCAGCCCACTCTCCCACTCTCTCCCTCCCACAACCACACAATACACCAAGGAGCCTCAACACTTACCACACAAATCCCAACCATATCCCCAAAATACTAAACATAACTGATAATACCGCAAACTCAGTATCAGTAATCAAAATATAAATCTTCGATAAAACACAACACAGAACCAAAGTAACATGAATCCCCCTCTATAAAGACAGTTCGATATTTACAACACTCAGAATACACTTTCGATGCTGTCTGCCAAACCTTTAACTCTTGAGCACAATACTATCATGTATGCGAGGCTTTGTGTCTTCAGTTGATCTTCCGACCTTGTTTGTGGCGTGACCATTAGCCGGAACCTGTGAGCATGGCGCCACACCACCTCCAACACTGCCGCCCCCGAACCTGTGAGCATGGCGCCACACCACCTCCAACACTGCCGCCCCCGAACCTGTGAGCATGGCGCCACACCACCTCCAACACTGCCGCCCCCGAACCTGTGAGCATGGCGCCACACCACCTCCAACACTGCCGCCCCCGAACCTGTGAGCATGGCGCCACACCACCTCCAACACTGCCGCCCCCGAACCTGTGAGCATGGCGCCACACCACCTCCAACACTGCCGCCCCCGAACCTGTGAGCATGGCGCCACACCACCTCCAACACTGCCGCCCCCGAACCTGTGAGCATGGCGCCACACCACCTCCAACACTGCCGCCCCCGAACCTGTGAGCATGGCGCCACACCACCTCCAACACTGCCGCCCCCGAACCTGTGAGCATGGCGCCACACCTCCTCCATCACTGCCGCCCCCGAACCTGTGAGCATGGCGCCACACCACCTCCAACACTGCCGCCCCCGAACCTGTGAGCATGGCGCCACACCTCCTCCATCACTGCCGCCCCCGAACCTGTGAGCATGGCGCCACACCACCTCCAACACTGCCGCCCCCGAACCTGTGAGCATGGCGCCACACCACCTCCTCCAACACTGCCGCCCCCGAACCTGTGAGCATGGCGCCACACCACCTCCTCCAACACTGCCGCCCCCGAACCTGTGAGCATGGCGCCACACCACCTCCAACACTGCCGCCCCCGAACCTGTGAGCATGGCGCCACACCACCTCCAACACTGCCGCCCCCGAACCTGTGAGCATGGCGCCACACCACCTCCAACACTGCCGCCCCCGAACCTGTGAGCATGGCGCCACACCACCTCCAACACTGCCGCCCCCGAACCTGTGAGCATGGCGCCAAACCACCTCCAACACTGCCGCCCCCGAACCTGTGAGCATGGCGCCACACCACCTCCTCCAACACTGCCGCCCCCGAACCTGTGAGCATGGCGCCACACCACCTCCTCCAACACTGCAGTAGTAGGGAGTAAGAGCCACAGGCTACTTTTTTTTTTGGCGAGAGGACCCCTGTGGACTGTAAGAGCCACAGGCTACTTTTTTTTTTTTGGGCGAAAAGTTACCTGTGTGAGCCAGGGTTTTCAGGTAAATTTTGTGTCACAGATTTTGGATTAAGGATTTCTTATGAGTAAGTAATTTCCGAGATTTTAGAAGTAAGGATTTCTTATGAGAAAAATAATTTCCGAGACTTAGAAGTTTGTTAAGGCCTTATGGGACAAATTCAAGTAACGTATGTAGCGCTTTAGGGTTTCCAGGAGAACTCTACGGACATATTTTACATGTTTTCAACTTACAAAATCCGTCTGTGTAAGCCATAGTTTTCATGTAAATTTAGAAATTCGTGTTTGTGAGCCAGCGTTTTCAGAGGCTCGTACATCACACCCCCTCCCTCCCTCCTTACCTCGCAATCTCTCGCGTCACCTTTATTTACCTTACGCCCGGCCAGCCAGGTTACCTCTTATCTTATCTTCTCCATAATAATATCTGGACCGTCCCTCCACTCTCTCTCTCTCTCTCCTTTCATTCAGTTCAACTATTTTCCAACATCGTATGTTTGCTCCTTATCATTAAGCAAGTCAGTTTTACACAAATAAATCGTGTTAGTAAGCAAGTTCTAGCTCACGTTCCCCCACCTTAGTCCCCTGTCATATAATGAATACTATCATTCCAATCCCTCTAAAATTTAAAAATAATCATATTTCAAACGTAGTTCAATACAGTAATTTAGTTACCAAGCTCCAGCGCTTGTCCTCCGCCTTAGCTCTCTCTCGTATCTTCGTTAGTAACAGTCCAATTTCCCTGAAATTTTTACCCTCTGTATTTCAGGCTCCGTAAATAAGATCAAAACAGTTATCAAGCTCCAGCGCTTGTCCCCCACCTTATTTCGTTTTATACAAGATCGTTAGTAACAGTCCAATTTCCCTGAAATTTTTACCCTCTGTATTTCAGACACCGTAAATAAAATCAAGTCAGTTATCGAGCTCCAGCTCTCGTCCCCGCCTTAGTTCTCCTTCGTATCTTTGTAAATAACCCATCAATTTCCCTAAAATTAAAAGCAGACATACTTCAAAGCTAGTAAATAAGATCAAGTCAGTTACTAAGCTCTAGCTCTCGTCCCCCACCCTCTTCCACCCTCAAGTCTTTGTAAATAAACCATCAATTTCCCCGAAATTTTTACCCTCTGTATTTCAGACATAGTAAATATGATGAAAACAATTATAAAACTCTAGCTCTTGTCCTCTGTCCAAGTTCACTCCTGTAAATTCATTACTATCAGTCCAAATCCCCCTGAGATTTAAACACCCAACTACATTTTCAGACATAGTAAATAAAAACCAGTTCAGTTATCAAGTTTCAACTCTTGTGCCCCAGCTTAGTTCATTTGTGCAAGTTCTTTATTTTCCAACTAAATCACCCTGAGATTTAAGATCACCTTATTTTCTAACGTAGTAAAATTAATCAGGGCATTAACCAAGCTCCATTCCCTCAGCCTTAGATCATCAGACATAAATATTTTCGATCAAGTCCGTCTCCAGCTTAACTCTTACCCTTTCCCTCCCTTACCTTCTCATCCCCAGCTTATCCAAACCTTCAATAATCGTACTGTATTTGCATATTTTCTCTATATTCACTGTGTTCTTCGTATTCTCATCCGTGTTCACTCCATGTTCTTCAAATGTTCACAGTCCCATTCAGTTCATATTTTCACAAGTATCTCCATTTTTTTATGTAATCTTTCTCTTAGTCTCATTATGTTCTCTACAAATTCTAGTCATATTTTCTATGTTTTCATATTCATCACATGTTCTCTTTACAACTTTTATACTCAATATTCATGCTAACTTCCATATTTTGTGTTGTTTGTCAATATTCATGTTCCTCTACAAGTTCATGTTCCTCACAAGATCACTTCGTTTTTCACCTTCACTTACATGTTTTCTACATTCGTTTGTCATATTCTCCATGTTCTTCACAAGTCCATTGTTCATTCTTTGTAATCCCTATTCTCCTTATCATGTTTTCATGTTCTCTGTAAGTTCATATTCCCAGCATGTTCACTGTATTCATCAACTTTTCTTACATGTGTTCTTTGCCATGTTCCCCATATGTTCTCTGGGTTTTTCCCCTTACATGTTATTTAACGTTCCTTAACTAAAAAAATCTTTCGCCAATCAACTAAAAACATAGTCACTTTCGTCATTTCTCAACTAAACCTATTATCCAGTCAACTAAAAATAGTCAGAAATAGCCTCGTTCAACACTGTTCTTAACTAAAACAACCTTTCTCTTAGCTGAAAATTGTCAAAGGAAACTTCTTTCAGCACTTTCTTAACAGCCGCTATGTTTCATCAAGAAAAAATTGTCAAAGGAAACTTTCCAAAACTGTTCATAACTAGCTTTTATCCATCGTCAATCAACTAAATAATAACTTTCATCATTTCTTAACTAAACTTATTCCCCAGTCATCAGAAAATAGCCGTGTTCTTCATGTTTCATTGTCATTTCATAACTAAAATTATCCATCAATCAACAGAAAAAGTCATATTCATCATTTCGTAACAGCCATTATGTTTTCGTCAAGTAAGAAAATATAGTCAAAGATATCTATCATCGTCGTTCTTAACTTCCATTTATACTTTGTGGAGCACTAAAAATAGTCAAATGTAACTTTTTCAACACTTTCGTAACTAAAATTATATGTCGCTAAGTAAGAAAAATTGTCAAAGGAATCTTTCCAGCACTGTTCTTAACTAAACTTATTCCCCAGTCATCAGAAAATAACCGTGTTCTTCATGTTTTCATT